AAAGTGACATTTCCTAAGGTTAGAAGATTGTTTTCTTTTGTGTAAAAAAAGGAAGTTTAGATATTAAAAGTGACATTTCCTAAGGTTAGAAGATTGTTTTCTTTTGTGTAAAAAAAGGAAGTTTAGATATTAAAATCGACATTTCCTGGGGTTAGAAGATTGTTTTCTTTTGTGGTTTTAAGTGCATTAAAAAAAAAGCATTTAGACAAAATAAACAAGAAAATTTAGAGCTCACCACTGTCCCAGAACAGGTCAGTTTAAACAGTTTATGACATTTCTTGTGGACCATCAGTTTGCAGTTGATACACTTGAAGCCTTGACGTCCCAAACCCCAAATACGGTCAGCACAAAAGGCACAGAAAGCCCTCTATAAATGGAAGAATAAAAGCTTACAATACTAGAATATTTTAAGGCATTCTTTTAAGTTTGCAGGAACTAAGATATTTCTAAAAATACTCAAGTTGATTAATTTTATAAACAGAGTTGGATGATGGCTAATGAAAGCTAAAAAAAAATTCCTAATAGTATAAGTCAATATAGTAAATCATAAACTTATAAACAATAAATCATAAAACTAGCATTCTTTGCAAAAACCAGTTTTCAGTTTTATCAATATCATCATAACTCATTAGAAAACATAACCCTTATCACAGAAAATTAAATAACAGCTCAACATTTCAAAAAAGTTAAAAAATGTGGTGCTGCATAAAACATATTAATTATTTGCAATTTTATGTCATGAGAAAATGCCTTGCTGATATTAATAGTATTTTATCCATGACCAAGTTGATAAAGCAAGTAATCATCTTGTGTGCACATAACTTAGCTTGATTATTGTGGTCACTGCCATCGCCAGTTTCGGGGTCAAGACATGTCCATAGAAAAGGAACCCCCACCCACACACACACACTCCTAGTTCTAAAAGTCCTTAGAGAAAGCCCCTCCTAGTTCAGCATTTCCCGAGAGAAAGGGCCCCCTTCCAAGTACAATGTGCCCTTAGAGAAGGGTCTCCTCCTAGTACAGTATGTCCTTAGAGAAGGGTCTCCTACTAGTACAGCATGTCCTTAGAGAAGGGCCTCCTACTAGTACAGCATGTCCTTAGAGAAGGGCCTTTACTAGTACAGTATGTCCTTAGAGAAGAGACTCCTACTAGTACAGTATGTCCTTAGAGAAGAGCTCCTACTAGTACAGTATGTCCTTAGAGAAGCATCTTCCTAGTTCAATGTGTCCTTAGAGAAGAGCCTCCTACTAGTACAGTATGTCCTTAGAGAAGGGCATCTTCCTAGTTCAATGTGTCCTTAGAGAAGAGCCTCCTACTAGTACAGTATGTCCTTAGAGAAGAGCCTCCTAATAGTACAGTATGTCCTTAGAGAAGGGCCTCCTCCTAGTACAGCATGTCCTTAGAGAAGAGCCTCCTAATGTGTCATTAGAGAAGGGTCTCCTCTTAGTTCAGTGCACACTGACATGGTTTATTATGTAAACACCTTACGCTTTCAAGAAAACTTAACTTTCATATTAACTGTGAAGAAAATATGTGTTAAAAATCTTGTTTAAAAACTGGGCTCTCCCAAGGGCAGAGACAGCAGTCCCCGGGTTGTAACAAACACAAATGTTTTAAATAAACTATTACAGTGAAAAACCTGTAATCTTGTGGATTTAACACTACACACAGACACCGCTAAAATACCAAGTTTACATCAAACACTACCCACCCTGTTGAATCTTTTTGCCTGAAAGATGTGTCCATTAACTTTGTAAAGTTTTCGCCATCTTCGAGCTCCTCTTCGATAAATACTCTCTTCAAAATAAAATACTTTGTTAGATTTCCTAAATTTTGTAAAACCTGTGACATTCTAAATAAGACAGAAGAAATTTAAATTTTACTTGTTTTAAGACATTTGTATTAGGCCTATTTCATTTTTAAACACTAATTATTAATCTAGTCCCTAAGGGATTTTCAAGAATTAGTAGAATGTATAATAATTAGTATTCCAATCACACTACATTTGTCATATCCATTGCCAAAGACGTGTTTCACTTAATCCAGAGCTCTTCAGGCAAGCTGGGATAAACAAATGCAATGGCGATGGATATGACAAATATAGTGTGGTTGAAATACAATTATTACAAACTTTTCTAGTTCTTGAAAATCCTTAAGAGACTAAATTAAGAATGTAGTATTTAAGAATGAAATAGGCCTAATACTAATGTCATGCGACAAGTAAACTGTAATCCTTCTTTGCTGGCTTGTAAAAGATGTACATACCATAAATGTTCTAATACCTTACTTTTACAAACACAAACCTTTATCCTGGATACTAAAAGTCTTATATTACATAATTATTTACATAACAATCCAAGGTAAGCCTACAGACTTGAAAACTTTAAAAGTTGATTTTTCAAACATCATTTGAGGACAATTTTATTAGCTAGTTTTCGAAACGTGGTGTTACAAACTTAACACACTTTTAATACTACTTAAACAATAAAGACAAATTCTTACAACTTTGTCACAAGCTTAATTTAACATACTTTTAAGGTTAGGATTTCAGGCAGTTAATTAATGATTAAGATCACCAGATGGGGCTAGTGCATCTATATAACTTTTATAGCTTGTGTTCAAAGGAAATCAATTACTTCTATTGGCTGTTAAGCACCAAAATTGATATGGCTTAGTGGACTTAGGTCAAGATTTCCAACTACGACACTAGTCAGATATTGAAGTTATTTGTTCTCAGCAAGTTAGAGAATAGATATTCAATTTAGTAACTATGCCTGCACCAAGGAAAGACAACAGCTTCTTCAAAACAACAGTGGTCAATATTATCCAATCAAAGTTGTTTTATTTGTTAGCAGCTTCACTACTATTCATTTAGTTACAGTAGTCTTACAGAAAGTTATTTGATAATATCTGATACAACAAAATGTCAATAATAGGAGAATGTTTCACCTGTTATGTATATCAAACATTTTAGAACCATTCCCGGCTTCAATAATTTTCACAACATACCTCTTAAATTCATTTCTGTTTATGTAAAACGCAAACTATGTTTTAGTTACATAAGTAGATTTTATGTGAACACATTTAATTCCCAAGTTCTTTTCACAAAACACAGGAGTTAATAAGTTAATTTTATAGTCTTCAGACATTATACAATATTATCTTTAACTGCAGTATCTGAAGTAGCTCAGAGTGTTTTCACTGTAATATCTATTCTTATTGCTTATCTCATGAATACAGTTAGTTTACTGTATGGTGATATTGTGTTAGGTTGTGATCAACAGAGTTTTGATGAAATGTACTGTGAATATTTGAGTTAATCTGTTGGATTTACCACCAATATATTTAATATTCCTAATGAAAACTTGTTAACATATATAAGATACCACTGGGTAGTCTTTAGAAAGTATGTAATAAGTAATAATGTGGAATCACTGGCATATAACTTTAGCCCCTTACTATTCCTTGAAAGTCAGCTCCTCCCATCTTTACTAATTAGGGCACATAGGAACACAGTATGGGAAACATCAACCTACATTATTCACTTCACTGAATATAAATAAAGTCTCAGGTATACCAGATTGCACAGAAACCCTTCTTACTTCAGATTTGAGATAATGTAGGTTTTTCAATACTTCTACTTTGGTTCAGTATTATGTGCTACATAATATATATATATATATATATATATATATACACACACACACACACACACACACACACAGTGGTGGACGAGAGTGACGACGACACGACCTAGTTCGTACGTACTCGACACTAACGAAAACTAACTACTACTATAGTATGTTACTTTAATT